AATAAATCTGAGTATTGTAATTAAAGTTCAATGTGCTCACCTACAAAGCTAGCAAAACAATTGGCAAGTTCCTAGTGCTGGAAGCATTTTCCGTCTATTCAGTCGTTTCCCCATAAAATTGATTCTTCCTTGAAACTTTTCATCCTATGTTGTAGCCATGGCACCTCAAAACTTGCACATCTGCCGCAAATCAAGAATACAGACAATCCTGAAAAATACAAAAGACAAAAACAGTACCTAGGCACTAAACAAGGGATAAATTAAACAATCCAGTAAATTCGAAAAAAACAGTATATGAAAACAATTTGAAATACAGTACTGGAAAACAAGAACAATCACATCCCCTCTGCCTTAATGGCATACGTCAAGAACAACAACAGTATGTTCTTGAACAATAAAGAGTATACATGCTGTAATACGTTCATACCCCAGTAGAACAAAAAAATTCAATGTTAATTTAGAGTTAGACATCGCAGATTAGAATTCGTACAGTTACAAATGTTCATTCATTTTTTACTCTTCATACATTAAAAGCTTCCAAAAAATACATACATATTGGTGTAAAGATTTATTTGGACTCTAAAGCGTCTAAACTATAGACAAAAGCATCGAGTCGTAATAGTTTAAAGCTTTACTAAAGAAAGCATATGGGTAACTGTAGAGATAAATATTTTATTTTCAAAATTTATAGAATGGTAAAAGTTTGAATTTTATACTTATTACTGCTTTCGATATTTACAGTATTCAAGATAAATAAAACTTATTTTATTGTAAAGCGAGAAAAAAACTATGCTGGAATTTATTTTAAATTTCTACATTGTGACTCACATTTGAATGCTTGTCAAATACAGAAGAGCTTTTCAGTTAAGCTTTCATTGCTGAGTGAAACGAAAGGGAAAAAAGAATAAATTGATATTTAATGAAAATTGATTATTCAAATTTTTTAAGATCATTTTGATAAAAAGGTGCTGAAATAATTTCGTAAAATCTACCAAAATTAAAGCTGATACATACTATTAGGAAGTACATTTAGTTAAAAGCTAGAAAATTTGTATCACTTTGATTAATATCAATACAAGCAAATTGATTTTAGCATATTAAACATGTAAGTCATTTCAAAATTAGTAATATGTTAAGATCGAAAAATACTGTAGAAATATAAGTAAAAATAAAAATTAGGTTATGCGTGCCTTACTTTCTTTTTCTCACAGAACTGAACGATTTTGATAACTGAAGGACTATAGGTTAATCGTTATGGGTTAACATTAAAAATTAAAATTTATAAATTAGTCATATACTAACAAAAATTTCACACATTTTGGTCAAATAAAAGGGAATTTTAGTGACTCAGATAAATTAAAAAGAACAATTTATGGAGATTTGAATCAAACTAAAATTTTTCATTCAAACAAATTAAACTTCTCAGCAAAAATTAAGAGCTTTGGTTTCACGTGAATAGTCAGTAAAATTTTACTCTACAGCACTTTGCGGAAAAATTATTTAAGAATCTTTCATTTAGAGTCTACTTTTATGCCAGGGTAAAAGATTCTTATAAGCACTTTGAAATCCAGTGTACCCATCTTGATTTAAGCCTGCTTCTTACAGTTCTAATCGGCTTCAAGATTTTAAATGCTAAGGACTATTAGCCAAATCGGCAACTGTCTTCAGAAAATTTTATGCAGTAGAATGTAGTTCCATACAGCATGTACAGCTCATTGTATGTTTTTCCTTGTACCACTGATATACATTAAACTTAGAAATATCAAAACAATTCACAAAAATAGCCATTATATTGTCAAGCAATTTTAACATTGCCCAGAATTCTGAACCTTATGTGAACGCAGGTGAATAAAATTTCCCAATATTTGTCCCAAGCTTATTATTCTAATATTAAGCTACATTTTCAAATTAAATTTTGGCATCAGAAATTGTAAATTGTTATTTGTATTTAAAGGACTTTGAACGACCCCAGTTAAGATGTTCATAAATGTCCCATTTTTTTCCTTAACAAATTTTACTTCGAATTTATCTACCTGGAAAATATCGTAAAAGTTAAAATTTGTGAATTCAATATGAACGTCTGAACTAAGTTATAATGCTAGTAAAGAGCTGGGTGTTTTTTCAGGGTACGGAACTGCAACCTTTAGTTACAGTCCAGGCCCTTACTCTAGACCACCTCAGCCTTTAAATGTTAATTTAACTAGAGCGAGAAAAATGTAGCAGCTAATTTAACCGCTAGATTTCGCTGTAAGAGCAAGGGTACTTCAGACAGTTCAGGTCACGGATATGTGAGCTATCATCACAATCCAGGACCCCCCAGTTCTTACGGAACCCCGGCCCTTACGGCACCGTAGTCTGAAAAACGGAAAAGTTCCGAAACGGCTAACAAGTGTGAAGCTCGAAGAGGGGAGTGCTAGACGGCCGTTCTGCTCCAATTCGGATTTCACACTTGTTCAGTACAGAATAGAAATTTTTCGTTTCAGAATACGTTTCTATAATACAATGACAACATATTTGCCAAAAGTACCTTTTCTTAAATATCCAACGAAAGCTTATGTCAAAAATTTCCTTGCAGACGTTCATAGTGTTAAAAATCTATGATTAAAAGATTAATTTTCTTCTTTTCACGTCGTAATTAATGACCTCTTCCGTTATTTAACAAACAGATGTAGGGTGTCCAGTAAGTAAAAAAGAGATAAAACGAAGCGTTGTTTCTAACTGTTATCTTCATGAATTTAGACGTTCTAGACGATCAAAATTGGTAAATAATTTTTAATATAAAACGGACACGCTGTTCTGAAACCTGAGCTATGTCATGATCCCATGAAAAAAGAATAGCCGTCTTAGAGAGAAAAGTTTTGAGAAGGATTTTGTGAGCTCTGTGAATAAACGGTAACTGGGAAACTATGAGTTGTACAGGGGAGAAAAAATTGGAGGAAGAGCCGCATTAAAGTAAACTGAAGGAAATTTGCTGACCTATCCTTCCTACCATTCAGACTCGCATTTTAAACAAACTAGAACCTGGGGCAGATCCAGATTGACTGCATTAATGGAGGTTCTGAAAAAGTAAAAGTTAACATATGGGACATCGTGGCTAGGAAGAGGGTAGTATAAAATGAAAGATTCTAAATGTCCACACTCTGAAAGGACTACTGAGTCATGAAATAATGAATTTTGCCGAATTTCACTTATGTCCTCTTTCGAAGAGAAGACTAAATTCCAAACTATAAAATTGAATAAATGAAACTTCTAAGTGTATATTAGTGGTTATTCAGAAATCAGTCAGTAAAGTGAGCTTAATCGTATTTTAAGAACAATTATACTATACGTAGCTCAAAACTTCAGAAGTAAAATAACATAACTTTGCAATAAAACAATGTTAATTAAATCGCTCAGTTCATGGAGAATAGAAATAACCTTTAGATCTAGACTATCCGATTATAGTTTTCATACATAACAAATAAAAGCATTCTAGACTTATTTTAATCGACGAATCAAATAAAGAGTTATATTTATATGAATTTTGAAAGATAGTAAATTAGGCAAGTTTAACATTACTAGTAGCTTCAAGGAGAATGTTTGTTAAATTACTTTTAAAAATGAACTTAGAAATAAGTAATAGTTTTACGTTTGACACAATTACTTTAGAAAAATAATACATTTGTTAATGTTTGTCTGAAAAAAATTATAATTAACCAACTTTAACAAAAAATTCAAACTTATGGATTTAATTTTTTTAGTTTTGTTGTAACGTACCCAGAACCGATGAGTTCGGAACCAAATATCTGCAAGTGACGTAGTGTTGGTATCTCTAGTCTGATTGGTTGTTAAAACGTGGCTTTGTTTACGTTAGTAGCAGTTCTTTCCATTCTATTAAGAGTAAGCCAAGCATGACAAGTATCAATTCTATAATCCTTCACAAAAATTCCTTCATAATTATTTCAGTTCTTTCACCCCTATATTCTTTACTTAACACAAAGACAGGCAAGAAGCCATGTAGAACATATTATGTATCAATATTTAAAGGTATGTGAAAAATAGATCACTTGTTACAATAAAATACGTAAACAAATAAATCTGAGTATTGTAATTAAAGTTCAATGTTCTCACCTACAAAGCTAGCAAAACAATTGGCAAGTTCCTAGTGCTGGAAGCATTTTCCGTCTATTCAGTAGTTTCCCCATAAAATTGATTCTTCCTTGAAACTTTTCATCCTATGTTGTAGCCATGGCACCTCAAAACTTGCACATCTGCCGCAAATCAAGAATATAGACAATCCTGAAAAATACAAAAGACAAAAACAGTACCTAGGCACAAAACAAAAAGGATAAATGAAACAATCCAGTAAATTCGAAAAAAGGAGTATTTGAAAACATATTATTTGAAATACAGTACTGGAAAACAAGAACAATCACATCCCCTCTGCCTTAATGGCATACGTCAAGAACAACAATATGTTCTTGAACAATAAAGAGTATACATGCTGTAATACTTTCATACCCCAGTAGATCAAAAAAATTCAATGTTAATTTAGAGTTAGACATTATAGATTAGAATTCGTACAGTTACAAATGTTCATTCATTTTTTACTCTTCATACATTAAAAGCTTCCAAAAAATACATACATATTGGTGTAAAGATTTATTTGGACTCTAAAGCGTCTAAACTATAGACAAAAGCATCGAGTCGTAATAGTTTAAAGCTTTACTAAAGAAAGCATATGGGTAACTGTAGAGATAAATATTTTATTTTCAAAATTTATTGAATGGTAATAGTTTGAATTTTATACCTATTACTGCTTTCGATATTTACAGTATTCAAGATAAATAAGACACATATTTTATTATAAAGCGAGAAAAAAAGCTATGCTGGAATTTTTTATTTTAAATTTCTACATGGTGACTCACATTTGAATGCTTGTCAAATACAGAATAGCTTTTCAGTTAAATATTCATTGCTGAGTGAAACAAATAGGAAAAAAATAATAAATTGATATTTAATGAAAATTGATTATTCAAATTGCTTAAGATCATTTTGAAAAAGGTGCTGAAATAATTTCGTAAAATCTACCAAAATTAAAGCTGATACAGACTATTAGGAAGTACATTTAGTTAAAAGCTAGAAAATTTGTAACACTTTGATTAATATCATTACAAGCAAATTGCTTCTAGCATATTAAACATGTAAGTAATTTCAAAATTAGTAATATATTTCTACTGTGTTTTCCTACCTTTACTAATGTTAAAATGAAGATTAGGTTATGCGTGTCTTACTTAATTTCTTTTTCTCACAGAACTGAACGATTTTTATGACTGAAGGACTATCGGTAAATGGTTATGGGTAAACATTAAAAATTAAATTTTACAAATTAGTCATATGCTAACAAATAATTTCATACATTTTCTTCAAATAAAAGGGGCTTTTAAAGACACAGATAAAGTAATAAGAACAATTTATGGAGATTTGAAGCAAACTAAAATTATTCATTCAAACAAATAATTAAACTTCTCAACGAAAATTAAGAGTTTTAGATTCACGTGAATAGTCAGTAAAATTTTTCTTAATTTATGTAATTCTACAAATGATCAATTTGGGTTAACTTTTTCCCAGTAAAAAAATTCACGCATTTGTTTTTTAAATTTTTCCTAATTTTGCAATTTCTTACAAAGCAAACGCCAAACTTTAAAACATCGATTATCGAAGTTATCGAAGACTTTTACTGTTACAGTCCTCAGTTCTCACAGCAATAAAAATTATTGCTATTTTTTAATTTAAATATGTTATTCCTATACAAATTTAATTATTAAATATATTGTCCATATATTGTGCATCAAAATTTAAAGGTATGTGAAAAATTGATAACTTGTTACAATAAAATACATAAGCAAATAATAAATCTGAGTATTGTAATTAAAGTTCAACGTGCTCACCTACAAAACTAGCAAAACAATTGGCAAGTTCCTAGTGCTGCTAGCATTTTCCATCCATTCAGTCGTTTCCCCTTCAAATCATTTGAGTCTTCCTCAAAACTTTTCATCCTATGTTGTAGCCATGGCACCTCAAAACTTGCACATCTGCCGCAAATCAAGAATACAGACACTCCTGAAAAATACAAAAGACAAACACAGTACCTAGGCACAAAACAAGGGATAAATTAAACAATCCATTAAATTCGAAAAAAGAAGTATTTGAAAACAAATATTTGAAATACAGTACTGGAAAACAAGAACAATCACATCCCCTCTGCCTTAATGGCATTCGTCAAGAACAACAACATTATGTTCTTGA